GACGGTAAATAACTGCAAGAGTAATACGACAATTGAGATGTTGCAGCTGCAAACAAAGAGAATCAATACGAGGAACTGAGATATCTACGGATGAGATTATAAAACAGTCGAAGATATGTTTAGCTACATATATACATACTCCCCCTCCTCGTCTATCAATTCGATCATATCTAAAAATCTGGTAATTAGTAATAGAGATTAATCTGTTTTTCAGATTGAATAAGACAAATAAATTCATTGAATTTTTTGGGAAGAGAATCTAAATTTGTGTACAATAAGAGCCAATCATTGAAAGTTGAAGATGAACCAGTTAATGATGAAATTTTTCTACGATATTTGGTGATCCATTAATTTACTGCTGAGCAAAACATTCAATGCTCATATTAATGTTGAGTCATTCAGTTCGGTGAAGAGTATCAAACATATTTGCAAGTATGTGAATAAAGGAAGTGATATGGTTGTATTTAGAATTGAAAATACTAATGTAAATGCTCCTCCGTTGAATCAAAAGGATGAAATTACGAATTACCAAATTGGTCGGTATATCAGTTCCAATGAAGCTGTCTGACGTATTTTCGGTTTCCAAATTCATGAACGGGATCCAGCATTTATCCATTTAGCTGTCAATCTTGAAAACGGTCAGCGCGTATATTTCACGAACGATACAGCGCTTGATCGTGCTATAAATCCACCAAAAACTACGCTCACCGAATTTTTTGAACTGTGCAATCGTGATAGTACAAATATGAATAATTATTTGTGATGTTTAGATAGCTATCAAGAATTGTAATTTAAAATATGTTCGTTACTTTAATAAAGATTAATTTATTAATCTAAATAAAGCATACTTTCATTGTTTACAACGCTTTCGATTATAAGTACATCCCCGCACACTTATAGTAGATAATTATTTTTATTGAACTAAAAAAATCTTTCCTAGAAATAATATACATGGCAAAACAACGTTTGCCGGGTCAGCAGCTACCCAGGCAGCACACTTTGGTATAAATTACGTCTTTTTTTAGGTACTACCATACATATGAATACGGTTGATGTACTACCAAATATATTCGTGAAAATGTCCGCCTTATAAACGTCGATTACTAAGAATTTATCCACCTATAATTAAACGTTTTTACTATACGTCTATATTAGATTTATAGTTGTAGTATATTTATACGAATTCACTTTGGTATAAAATACGTTTTTTTATGTACTACAATATACGTATGGATACTGTTGATATGCTACCCAATATATACGTGAAAATGTCCGCCCTATAAACGTATATTTTTTTTATTTTTTATACGTCTAACATTACTACTTTATCTACCTTTAATTATCCTGTTTTACTATTCGCTCCGTGCGCGACCGCAGTGCCAATTCGTTTTGGTATTAATGGACTATTTCTGTGTATACTGACAAATACAATTTTTAATAGAATTCGTAATTAAAAAGTATATATGTTAGTTTTAATAAAAGTATATGGATTTGTAAAACAAGTAAAACATTAATTTTTTATTATTATTATTATTATTATTATATATTTTTAACGCTTAAATTAAGGAAAATTATGTATAATCAATGAAAATCAATAATAAAATATAAGCAGGCAACAGTATTTACTGGAAAATGTATGAGAAGTTGCCTAAGTCTAATAAGTTGTCATTGAAGAATTAGCCTGTTGTCAAAATAAAAAAATACCATTTAATAATAGCATGAAGTTAAAATGTATAAAAAAAGGATCGCTATTTATATTTTAATTTTTGTTCGAAAGAAAACATAGAATGAATGATTAAAACTGGTTTCTCATCAGTAAGTCACAAAATTACATTCCATCCACATATAATAATCAAAGGCAGAAATCTTGAAATCTAGTCCTTGCTGAATGAACATTTAAGAATAAAAGGACATTAAAGAACATCGTAAAATGATAATTTATTGTTTATTTAAAACCTTTCAAGTTTCTGATGTCTACTATTTACAGCATTACTGTTATTATTACAAAAATACAGGTAATTTTTCTTCTTATTGTACATCTATCCATTTATTTCTTTGATTTAATTTCCACTTTGCTACTGACTTTTTTTATATAAGTTTCACTGTTTTTTATTGCTAGTATTTGTACAATTGTCAACACAGCAACTCCGGTTGCTTATTGTATTGTCTGTACCTACTTTTTTGAAAAAAAGTAAAATGTATACTTGTATTTGATATGCCAAAATTACAAAATATCGCCCTAAAATGCACGAATTATCCGCAGCTAGCGCTAGTATCGCTTTTGCTTCCCTTTCCTTGACTTCGCACGGAGCGAATACGTCTATATTAGATATATTTGTATGATTTTTATTAATGTGTAAAATGCGTCTACCTGATATTGTTTTAAATGTATTTCAAACACAAATTAAATAAAGTGATCAAAACAAAATTTCTAAAAGAAGCCATGGAAAAATGTTAATATTTCTTAAATGATAGTTTGGATTGTATCCATAGCAGGTGTGTATACACCAGAAATAGGCATTACTCGAGTTTCTATTTTGGTTGTAATTGGCCTAAATATTTAGAAAAAAATTTTGATCACTTGTTATATGTACAGAACAATATTTAATTAAAAAAAAATAAACAATAAAATACTAAAAAATAAATAAATACAAAAAAATAGGCACTAAAATAGTGAATAACAAACTAAACGAAACTTTTCTTTAACTAACAAAAAATATTTCTGAAAATAAAAATCTTAGCTTAACACTTTGGATGTGTTGTGTCCTAGACGGGCCTTAGCTAACTTAAGCTAATCTTGCATGGCACACCTAATCGTTCGGTCGGTTAAGTCGCTTGGTTCACCCCCATTCCTATAACCAAAATGTAACTCAATTTCAGGTGAAATATTTTCTAAAAGCTCCGAAGTTAAATTTGTATTATTTTCTTGGAAATTATTATAAATGATAGAATCAATTAATGTCCGAAGCCTTATTAATGTTATTTTCATTGGGAATAAAAAAAAATTGACTTTAAAGCATATTGAACATTTTGCGCTATTTTTCTACGTAGATGACGCAGAGACAGGGTTATTTTAGACATTTTATTAAATAAAAAACAACTGACAAAAAAAAAGGAAAATAAGTATGCTTGGAATAACTAGGTAACCTAAAAAAATACGTATAAAAATAAAAGAAACTAAAGTAAGGTTATATTTTGAAGTTTCTATACGCATTTAACACACTGTACGTACCTATAAAACAGTAGTTGTTGTAAAATGCAACAATTATTAAAGGAGTAGCTAAATTAAAACAATAATAGAAACTTACCTATGCTTTTAATCAATATCGTAAAAGCCAGGACGCCAAAGCAACATGCAACAAAACGTGAACACAAATGTAAATGGACGAACCGATGAACCTGCTCCCACAAACCATTCCCTACACTGAACAATAATACTACACATACGCATGAGTAGAAATGAGAAAAGACCGTACCACTAGTCATCCTCCATCCGCCATCTAAAAATAGTTCCATGTGTATGGGGAATTTGTTATAAATATTACAGGTAATATAATTTAAAAAATATGGATGTAATGTAAATAAATATATCTATAAGCTTTTAATTTAAATAAACCTAAATATATACACAATATTTACTTCTGTCTACTAGTTCATCGTAAACTGGTATTATGCGTTTAAGGTGACTTATAATTAAACGTAGAATAATATAGTTATATTAACTAGTATCGACAAACAGAAGCGTTTAATTTATCTGTTAAAAAATCTGATGTGTCCAACACATGACTTTCCTATCTAGTTATTACAGGCTTTTTCCGGTTATTTCGTACAACCTATTGCAGCATCTCTATAAATGTTTAGAGGATGAACTAAATATATACATTGTTCACATACATCTACCGCGAAACATTTTTCTATAGATATTCATTGAAAATGAAAATACTGAAAAATTTAAATTTAGCACTTTTCCTACAATTTTTCCATTACGGTCCATTTTAAAAAAATCATGTATGAACAAATATTATAGAGATCGATATCGCAAACAACTTTTATTTCAACAATTTTCATAAAAATCAGAATTTTGCACATTTTGTCAAATTTTTCGAATACGGACCATTTCAGGAAATTTTTACATAAAGCAAAAATTATAGATAATAATATTAGAAGTAACTTTTATTTGAACAATTTTTTTCTCCAAACATAAATAACAGATATATTCCATAAAATATAAAAACGGCCTCCCATAAAGTACCCCCCCAGATGTTCCGACTTTGTCCAAAATCTAATCATTTCACGTCAGGCCGAAATAAAACTTAAGTTTAAAATTTAATATTTTTTTCTTTATCCGTTTTTGAGTTTCCTTCAAATTTCGAAATTTACACATTTTCTCAAATATCTCGAATACGGTCCATTTTAGAGAAATTATCTATAGGATAAAAATTATAGAGAATTATATTACAAACAACTTTTGTTTGAACAATTTTTATAAAAAAAAATATTTTTTTACATTTTGTCAAATTTCGCGAATATGGACCATTTTAGGAAAAGTTTGTATATAACAAAAATTATAGATAATAATATTAGGAGTAACTTTTATTTGAAATATTTTTTTCTCCAAATGTAAATAATAGATATATTCCATAAAATATAAAAATGACCCCCCCCCCTCAGATGTTCCGACTCTGCCCAAAATCTAATCAGTTTATTGGACGCGGAAAAAAATCATGATTCCTATACTTTCCTTATATCTGTATACAGATAGGAAAGTAAAAAAAATATTTGGAATTAAAGCTGAGAAATTCGGGAATAAGGTGGCAAAGTAAATTCAAATATTCATAGTAAATCAGTCATGAAATTCCTTGTGATGTAAATGTTTTCTCTGGGGAGTTTTATTAAATATTAAAATTTTCTATATTAAGGAGCGAGCAATTTACATTTCAATTTATCATTTATTTCCCATACAAAACTTGACGTTTTAGCAAAATTTCTATTTTCGACAGGCTGGACTCCTCTGCACGAAGCCTGCAACCACGGTTGGTATGAAGTGGCCTTTCGTCTAGTCCAATCTGGAGCCAATGTTAATGCTCGAGGATTGGATAATGATACGCCCTTGCACGATGCTGCTGTCAATGGTCATCTGAAGCTTGTAAAATTATTAGTAGAAAGAGGAGCTGATATATACGCGAAAAATTCCAAAGGCAAAACCCCTTTAGACGTGGCGCCCACCTCTGTCAAACCTTATTTACTCAACTCAAATTTGCCTTTACCAGGTAAGTCAAAATTATAATTTCTAAATTTGTCCTATCGATGGCTTAATTCTAACATCTTGTAACCCACAAAGAGTAAATTTTACAGTAGAGGCAAAAAACTCCATTTTGACATATGTATCGTGCGGACGTATTAGAAATCGCGGGAATCAACTAGAAATAATTTTATTGGGACAAGAGGTTTTAGTGACCGTTAGTGTCCATCTTTTTCTATTGAATAAACGTAAATTCGTAAAATTTGTGGCTTAGGACTTGTTAGAATTAAGGGGAATCTAATGCTCGAATTTTGATACAAATGTAGAGAGTCGGTTGATAACAGATTACTGCCTTATTTTTCAATACTTAAAAAAAATATTTTTGGGATGTCTAGAAAAAACAATTATAAAGGTTTATCTTAGAACAAAATTTAGAATTTTTTTTTCAGATGTTATTTTGACGGAGTGCCTAAAATGTTGAAAATTGAAGATTTTTACGACCAAATTTCGTGCTTTATAGGAAAAAAAAAATACAAAATTGGTCTAAGATAAACTTAGATTCATCCCTTAACAATCAATGATGTGAATAAAACGTAGCATCTATGTGGTAGAATCTACGATCCAGTGATAGCGTCAACTAAAATCGACGTGATTAAATAGATGCTAACACTAGGTAGTAGTTACTACTTGTGGATAGGAGATACAACTATACTCTAGTTATAACTAAGGAGTAGCAGTAACTGAAATTTACGTTACTTGTTAAACTTATCCTCTCCTTCGGCGCTGTCAGAGTTGTTTACTCCCGCAGCACGTGGTCGGACTTGTTTTGTCTTGTATTCTTTCAGTTAGTTGGTTGTTATTTTTACTCTGACAAACATGTCGTCTTCTGAAAGTGAAGATGAGTTTGAAAAGAAGAATGTGGACCGAGATTTGTTTGTGAAATTAATTAGCGAACATCCAGTGCTATTGGAAAAATCTAGAATTCCCAAATTTGTTCAACATAAAAAGGAATCATGGGAGATAGTCTGTAAAGAATATTCTCAAGTGAACGTAATCGATGTTACCCCATCACAATTAAATAAAATGTTACAAAACATGAAAGCTGTAATTAAAAAGAAAACTGATACTAAAGCTACAGGAAACAAGAAAATAAAATTGAAAGATTGAGAGAAACAATTTTTGGCATTATTGGGTGCAGAAGAAAAGAATCCTGTTTTCTAAAGTTCCAGGAGCAGTGACGTTAGGAAAATCATCAAAAAAAGATGACGGTTTCAAGCATAACATTAGTGGGGATGCCCATACTTCAAGTTCTTCACCACAAATATCTGAAAATAGTAATGTAAAAACAGATAAACCTAGCTATGTGAGACCAGGCATTAAAATTATGACTGCATTTGAAAATGAAGAAACAAGAGATCTGTCAACATCTCAGCTGCAGAAAGTCGTTCTCTTACAACAATTTCAGCTGCAGAAAATTCAAATGAAAAAAGAACAAAAAGAACTTGAGTTACTTGAAAAAAAGAACACCAAAGACAGTGAAGTACAGACAGATGCAGTTATTGTTCTTGAATTAGTTGAATAAAATATTCGATGCGTTGCGGCGATAGATCAAACCAGAGGCCTTGGGTGCCGCTCTTCCCTGTATCTCATGAAAATACTTATGTGTTTACATTTATAGTTAATTATAATAATTTTTTACATTTTTTTTTAGTTTTATTGTATAATAATTTAGAATTTAAATACAAATTAACATCTCATCTCGCTTCTGTTCACTACGGCGCTTTGTTGCATTGTTCTCATGTATATAACCGTCAACTCCCTCTTCTAATCCATCGTGATCTTCTTCATCTTTCTCAAAGTCAAATTGGTCCTTGAGATGTTTCGCGACTTGTGGAGCACTGCACAGCTTGCTACAAGCTTAGGTACTCTCTCCAAGCTTAGGTACTCTCTCCAGTGATACTCGCACACAGTTGCCTAAAATGGAGAACCTTTTTTTTAGTTGACCAAATACTCTTTCTATTATGACTCTTTCTGAAGCGTGTTTGCGATTTAATCTTCTTTCAATAGCAGTTTGAGCTAGCTTGAAAGGCGTAATAAGCCATGGAGCTATACCGTAGCCGGAATCACCAAGCAATCGAGCTCTACCGTCATACTGAGAAATAATGTAACGAATTTCACTACGCCGCCATATTCTCGAATCATGTACTGATCCTGGCCAATCCGCGCAAATGCTTGTAACCCTTTCTTGTGCATCACACGTTGCTTGAACATTAATACTGGGGTAACCTTTTCGATTAATTTACTCATCACCAAAAGCAAAAGGTTTTTTATCTGTACATGTGTACCATCTAACGCTCCCACAGCGTTCGGTAAATCAAATCGTGTCTGCCATAACAATTTTGCATTGTTTATCTCTTGAACTGTGTTAGGGAAATGGATCCAATTATGTGCTTTTTCCAGAATATGATCCATAACACAGTTTATAGTTTTACTCACTGATGAGCGTTCCACTCCAAAATCTTCAGATACTCCACTCTGAAAACCAGGGTCAGCAACCTAGCGTAAAAATATTTCCATGCGATTTCTTGGAGTCAGGAGCTTTTCCTCGAGTTTCATTACTGTCTGGCAAGAATTTTGTTGTTAAAAAGTTAATACGTTCATTCTCAAAACGCATCAATTCCTTACATCTTGTCACTAATCTTCTTTCACCATAAACTTTTCTTTCTCGTACTTGCATAAACATCGCCATGGTAAGGATATTTACGAATAACAAAAATCTAAGTGTGGTCTCGTTTAGACTTACAAATTGTCAAGTTGCAACTGCAATAAATTAGTAGTGTTTGCGCTTTATTCACAGTAAAAATGTAGTTATAACTACAAAACCGGAAAAACTTTAGTTGTAACTAGAGAGCCTTTTATTCACATCAAGTGAAGTTATAACTTTAAAATACTTAAGTGTTAGCCTTTGTTACTTTTTATTCACATCACTCATTATTCTAATCCAAGAAAAAAACACCGTCAAGTGGCGCCTCCGGCGGTAAAATGCCTTCATTTATATAGACGGTGGCAAACTTTTACAAGGACTTGGGACAATTTTGTAATATATTTTTTATATAGTTTAAGTTAAAATTTATTTTTAAAGAATATTTTAAAAATGAAACATTAATTTTTCTAATCATATATCTTGTTTATTCAAATATACGGGTATAAGAAAGAGATATTGCACAAAGTATATGCACCTATAATAGTATAGGGTGTTAGAATTTTGACGAGAATAAAAATGCAGTCTCTATTGATACATATGATAGAATGTCCTTCGCACACTACTATAGTCTAATATTTATGGAAAATAAAATGGTACACAGATATATTTGTCACTTCTAGAGATATATTCGAAACTAAGAAGATCTACCAGTACTTAGTAATTTAGAGGCCCATAAACTTGTTTCATTTTTCACTTTTAAATGTTACATTAACTAAGGTTTTTAAAAGTGACAAAAAAATACAAAACTGAAACAAACATTTTATTGATATAGGCAGAAATTGCACATTTTTTTTTTATTTAGTAGGTTTGTATATAATATTTTATGGATGAAATAAATGTGATACACTGCGAATGATGTGACCTAATTTAAAACAATATACCTACATGATTTTTGAAATTCTTTATTTATTTACAAAAATACAAAGAAAAAGTTATAAATAAGGGAAGTCACATAAGTACTTTACTAACAAAGAAAAAAAAAAAGATAAAGTGGTAAATTAATAAAGCAACACTATTACAAATTAAATTGCAATAACGACATAATAAAAAGTTTTCTAAAATAGGTAAAGTAGACGCTAAGAATATATTCTTTATTATCTTTTTCTGTTTTTCTTTTTATTATTGCTGACTTCTAAGATATACTCAGGATATTTTATTAGCATGTTTTTATCCTTTCGTGAATCGATTATTTTTGGAATCATACAATCGAAGTAAAAATATCGTAAAAAAGGCTCCATCTTATTTAACTAAAATTCCGTATCCCTTAATTGTTTCCGTTTTTAAACTGTGGAGCGTGTTATGTGTACTTGTCCTTGAACTTGATAGTACCATTAGTGATTTTAATTAATTTCGTTGTTTTGTCAAAAAAGTAATATTTTTGATTTGAATTTCTTGTTCTGTGGTAATTTTCCTTGCAGAATAAAGAAATTTTATTTTAACTTGGCCTCTATCTTCGATAAGACCAACTGGGTTGCTACCAAAAAAAGGCTGTTAGATATCAACAAAAAGACCACAAGGATCTATAGTTTTTATAGTTGCTTCTTAGAATTTTCTCTATTTATTTTTGCCGTAGTCATAAGTTGCCGGTACAATATTGTATCTAGGGGTGGGCAAAATAATCGATTAATAATCGAATAGTCGATCATTATATATTTTTTAAATCGATAATCGATTATTTTCGATTAATCGATTATTTTCGATTAATCGTTTATTTTCGATTAATCTATTATTTTCGATTAATCGATTATTTTCGATTAATCGATTATTTTCGATCATCGATTATTTTCGATTAATCGATTATTTTCGATTAATCGATTATTTTCGATTAATCGATTATTTTCGATTAATCGATTATTTCCGAATAAATTATTTTAAATAATCGATTATTTATTTTGATAATCGATTATTTATTTTGATAATCGCCCAATGATTACATCGAACTCTTGTTCTTGAGTAAAACTTAGTTTCCTATTTTAATGCCAAAAAGTGAGAGACAAAAAAATTATGGAAAAAGTCCGTTGCCCTCCCCCTAATGAGATGCTTATGAATGCAATAGAAAAATTGATGTCATCGTCATCAGTTGGTTAAACGTAACATTAATAACTTCAGTATTAACCCTAGAACAATGTCAACTCACTTATTGTGACATAACTGATACTTAAAAGTTGTCATAAAAATCACTAAGAACGGCCTTTTTCAGTAAATTTCTTATTTTACCAGATAACGTGGGATACAACTCTTGTTAAAAGCTTGCTATGACAAAA